CACAATTTTCAAAAACCAAACGCAACGTCAACGATAACGATAACGTAAAGAAAGGAGTGTACATTTAGCATTATTGATTAGATAAAGAGGACGGGTTGACAGAAAGTAAAGAACCACAACAATATTTCTGTAACAAATTATAGAATCCTTTCATGTAGTTATTAGAGTTCCGATTCGCTGCTGTTAAAAAGCTAGGCACCACTTTAATTTTATTGTCAATCTCTTCGAAATCTCTAAATATAGATGTCGTTTTCATCTATTTTTAATTTTAAATAAACTCCAATCTCGACGTGTTAGGAGAGTTGCGGCATCACTCTTATTGGTGGTCATTTTCAATAAGGTTAAATTTATTTTTAATCCAAAAAGACAATATTAAAAAAAAATTAAAAGGTTGTTATTTTTCTTTTGGACTATGATGCGATGGCCATTTAAAAAATTCACCTAATATGAATTACTTTATCCGCCATTTCTGTGCCCAAGAAAAAACTTCTTAATCGGGATCGAGTTGAAAGAAGAAAATGGCAATAGCATATACTTGCTAGTTTATGTAAAATGACATGCCAAGAATTAACTATTTTCTTCACAACCACGACTATTGAATCTTGTTCTTCGACCTTCCGTACTTCATTCTTCACTATCGTCTCTCCTAATTTTCTTAGTTTATTGGAAAATCCTTCTTTGATAATGGACTAAAGAATCTAGGACGGCAGCATCCAAATTAAAAACTAGGTATTTTTTTTCCGTACCTCGACGTAGGAAAGAATTTTAAAGAAACCCCTAAGAAATAAAAACTAAATTATTGTACATAGATAATGAAGATCATCTGCATACTTATTTGCTAGAATGAGTAGGGGAAAGAATAAAAGAGAAACTTTATATGAAACGGAATAATATAGTACACAGGAACAACATGTGAAATAAAGAAATCTTTAAAACAATTGCTCAAGTCGAGGGACCATTCGAGAGCCTTTTGAGCTTCTTAACATAGTTGCTCAGGGGCTCTAAACAGCAAGAGAGAGGGGAAGGCGTGGGAGGTAAATATGAGGTGCAATGTAGGTGAAGAAAATGACGAAGATGAAAGCATTGAACGCATGTTTAGGATTTGTTTATAATCGTTTTAAAATATAAATAAATAAAAATGAGTGAATAATACTTGCTTTTTCACAAAATAGGGCACCGTTTGGTAACCATT